CCCCCCTCAGGTACCGAGCCGGCCCCAGGGCCCTGGCGGGCGGGCAGAGCGGGCCGGGCAGTTCGCGGGCGGCCGGGGAGGGGGAAGGGCCGCGGCCGGAACGCCGCGGCGGGGCGTCCGGGACCCTTCCAGGCCCGCCGGTCCGCGGTCCCCGGTGTGGCGGAAAGGACGGGGCTGGGCCGTTCGTGGTTGTAGCCTCTGCTCGTCCCTCGTGCAGGCGGAGCTGCAGGCAGAGGCTCCATGTTGGGAAGCGGCGCCGCTGGTCCTCGTTAGCGGGAATCGGGGCGCCGCGGCCAGAGGCGGCGGGGGCCGGGCCTTGAGCGAAGATGGAGGCCCCTCTGCGGCCTGCCGCGGACATCCTGAGGCGGAACCCGCAGCAGGACTACGAGCTCGTTCAGAGGGTCGGCAGCGGCACCTACGGGGACGTCTATAAGGTGAGGCCGGCTGGGCTCTTTTCCTGCGGCCGCTGGTTCCCGGGAATTGGGCCACTTTCTGGGGAAGCACGAGGAGGGGGAGGATGCTTTTATTGTTGCATCTTGGAGATGCAGCTGCCGGGTCCCGTTTATTCTCCTGTATTCATGGCTTGTTGTAGTCGCGACTAACAAGCAAAACTATGCACACCTTTGCAAACCACTTTTGGGTGTGTGTGTGTGTGTGTGTAAGGCTTTTTAAAGCTTATTTATGGTATGTAGTGTGTGTGTGTGTAAGGCTTTTTAAAGCTTATTTATGGTATGTAGTTTGTGTGTGTATGTGTGGTATAAAGGCTTTTTAAAGCTTATTTATGGTATCCAAGAGAGTTCGAATCTGCTTATGGAGTTGTGCTTGAGGTTGTTCTTGTCTTGGCGTGGAAAAAATGCTTCCTGGAAGCAAGAAATATCGACATTCCAACACTGCATAAAAAAAGTTTTTGATGGATAAGCCTGGTTTAAAAAGTCCTGTGAAATCCAGCCTCTCAGTTTTAACCGTGAGCAGTCCAATACTGGGTCACAGTGAAGTGTACACAAACATCCTATGTAGAACGATGCTTTTCCTGGCAGAAGTTTCATCGTTTGTATCTGGTTGATGATTTCTTTTTCTACTTTAACAATTTCTCTCCCTGGGATTCATAACATCCCAAGACCAAGAGTAGTTAAGAGCTGCTGTCTTTTTAATTGTGCTCTTTTGCTTTATTTGAGACAAACGGGAAGAGGGGATGAATTACTATTAATTTGAAATTTAAAAGGCATCATAGAGAAGCAAACCCAGTTCCCTAAAGTCCACTGAGTTCTTGAAGGATCAAGAGGAAAGAGATTGTTTCAGATTGCCTTATGCTTTTTGTTCTCTGTTCCAAAAAGAGAGCATTAATGCAATTCATATGGGTGTATTAAGGGAATTTCCTTTGATTTTGAAACAGCTTTGTTTATTGGATTTAATCATGTTATGTATCCCATTATTCCAAACAGCACTTTTGCATATACCTGAAATGGCCTTGTGTCACACGAGTATTTAACCAGTAGACTCCTTTGGGGAATGTTGTTTTGCACAGGTTGGTAATATGGAAGGAAAACATCCCTTCTTCCTAACTTCTCTGTTTTTGCTTAATATCCTCCCTATTAATAGTAACAGTTCAAGGTTGTGTTATGACAGCTCTAGCACTGTTTGATTCTATTGAGATGGATGGTAATGGGTAGGCTTTTTATTCTTTAAACAGGCTTTTGAATCTTCGGTACTAGGCACTATTCTAGTATGGGATGTTGAATTGTAAGGAAAGTTCCAGCTTTTGCCCTGTGAATACCTTTTAATTCAAAGTAGATAATTATAGAATCCTCTTTTTTTATAGACTTAGACGTAGTTAACTCTTAATTGTTTATCCATGGATAAGCCATTTTGTGGAATGCTCTTTAAAAAGCTGGAATTCCTATTTGCTTTCTCAGTCCCACTTTATAGTCATCTTTGTCTTATGATTCACTACGTATTAGATCAGTCCAGCTCAGTTCATGTTAATAGTACAATAATCTGAATTCCAGTTCTTATATATTTTCTCTTCTCCCTATTACAAGAAAAAGTGTTTTCCCCACAAAAATCTCAAGACCTCCACCTTTTTTCTTTATAAGTATCACAAACAAAGGGAATATCTGGAGCAGGACTTTATCCTTGCCAGGGAAAGCAAGCAAAGGATTATATTAAAGGGGCAGCTAACACTTACCTTTTGTGCTGGTGCCTCTCTGCCCTATCTCTCTCTTCCACAGCTCCTAAACAGAGGATGGAAGGCTGATTATTTATCATACACCACCTTTACCCTTCATGATCCCCTTCCCTCATGTTCATGCTTCCTCTCATTTATGTGTATACCATTCCACACCAAGCCAGCCTCTGATTCTTAAACATCCTCAAAACCGTGGTTCCTTGTCTTTTGTTTCCCTTTGTTCTTATTACCTAGAATCACCTCCCACCTTCGTTTCCAACTGTTACTATCCTACCTGTCCAGGAAAGCCTTACTGAAATACTCCTCTGGGAGGCCCCAGCCCCTCCCCCTGTTCTCTCCAACCACCTTGATTACTCTTCCCCTTCTAGCCCCACTGGCCTTCTTGCTTTTCCTAGAACATAATCTGCATCTTCCTACCTTTGGGCCTTTGATATGGCTGTTCCTTCTGCTCAGAATGTTTTCCCTCAGACAGCCACGTGGCTTGCTCCCTTCCCTCCTTGCTTGTTGTGTCCTCTCAAATCTTTTTTCCTACTTCTTTTTTCTTAGCACTTACCACCATCTAATGTAATGTTTTACTTATTTTTGTCTCATTTATTGTCTATCTCAATCCACTAACATACTCCCTGAGGGCAGGAATTTTATCTGTTTTGTTCAGTGCTCTAACTCTAATAGTACCTTAGAATTATGCCTGGCACAGAATAAGTACTTCCTGAAAATTTGATCATGAATGAATGAATGAATGAATGAATATCAGTAATGTCCCCTAGTTCTCCAGGCATATGCTTTTGATATCCCAACACTAAGCTTTTAATACTCTATGTTCTTGTAATGCCTATTATGATATCATGCATATGTATGTTTCCTATAAATGTCAATTATTGTTCTCTAGGAAAAATATTTCTGGAAAACTATATCATAGCATATCCATTTTCAGCACACTAAGTCCCACAGAATTTTGTCAGTTTATATTTGCTCCTTAATATGCCTAAAAACATGTAACATTCAGATTGTAGTGTTGAAGAGCACTTAATTTTGTTTTTTATCACTGTGTTTTGGATGAGCTGAAAATCTTAGAAAGTTTTAGAAGAATTTCAATCTGTGATGTAAACTAGCAAAATAATTACAGTGAAGAATAATGAACGTAAATTAATTCCTGCTCTAGTCAGATATTATCTCTACTTTTCTTTTTTAATCTTATGGAGCCAGAGCTTTAAAAATACCACAACTTTGAGATATTTTGTGAATTTATTTTTATGTTCTTCAAAAACACAGTTCCCCTCTGAAGCTCCTGTCTTTTCTGAGAATTCCCAAGAAAGGAGAGCTCAATCTTAAACTGGCTATTTCTTGGTTGAAAGAAGAATACTATACAGATTCTTTTAGATAAATGGGGTAAATCACAGGGTGAGAGCAGGAAACAGTGGAGGGGAAAGAAACACGAAGGAGAAAAGAAACATGGTGGAAAGTAGATGAAGAATTAAATTTCAGCTGAGCAAATTTTATTTATAATTACCATTAATTTTTAGATCTGCTAACAGGAAAAGGAAGTCTGGAGATCTAATGTCTCTACTACCTCTGTCCATAGTATTCTAGACTGTTGTCGTGTCACGATGCAGTTCACAGCAGCACAAGCCACTTAGGCAGTCTTCATCCAAATATTTGTGTAAAATTGTTCCCAGGCTACATTCCAGAGAAGTTTTAGTAATCTTTTTCAGTCTTTGTGGGATATAAATTTAGAGTGGGCAATCTCATGTATTTTTTTGTAACCTGTATTGCTTTTTCTGATTGATTATAAAAATGTGACATGTTCAGCTCCAGGAGGACAAGAAGAGCTGTCTCCTTTTCATCACAGTACAATAGCAGACAGATAGGTGCTCAATATATATTTGTTGAATGATATTGTAGAAAATTATCCAGAGATAAATACTGTTAATAATTTAATATGGTTTATTTCAGGCATTTTTCCTAAATGTTTTTAAACCAGTATGTTTTTAAACATGGCTTTTATAAAACTGAGATCATGATGTAGCTCTTTTTCCTATTTGATTGGAATGGCAGCATTTTCCCTGGTCTTTAAATAGTCTTCAAAAATACCATTATTAAAGGATCCATTGAACAAACTGTAATTTAGTTAATCATTCTAAGTTTCGTATTTGTTGTTTCCAATTTTTTTTTTCAGTTTTAAATAATGTTATAATTTGTATAGAAACCTTTGTCACATTGTCTTATCACTTCTGTGGATTCTCTGGGTGCTGGACGAACTGGGTCCACTGTATTGAATCCCTCTTTTATCTATGCCTTACTTTTCTGTCCTCCAAGCCAGAAGTCACAATTCTGGACTGGCTTTAGATACTATAAAGTTTACCCCAGGAACCCATAGTATAGAGTCAAAGCTTGATACATCACACTTATGTAAACATCATTTACTCAGGAAATACTTATTGAGTGCCAACTGTATGATAGGGTATGGGGACGCAAACACAAGAAAGAGAAAGTACACTATCAACAAGAAACGTATAATTCAGTCAGGAAAACAGGCATGTAAACAGTCATAATTTGCTAAGTGCTGGAATAGAAGTGAAGTGGAAGAAATGCCCAACTCTGTTTTTTGTGGGAACAGGGAAAGGGAGAGGAGGAGAGAGAACTATGATGTGAACCAGGAAAAATTAGAAGAGGAGGGGACATTTAATGAGATTTTAAAAGAACACGGGGTGATTTCCAGGTGGACAAGATG